AATCAGTTTTCTATATTAAAACAGTTGCTACCTGAGCCCCCTAAGGCAGGCGTTTTCCCGTAACTGTTCCGAGATGTGGATTACGCAGCTGTTTTTAGGAGGTGGGTGCCATGGCTGTTCTAAGGGGGACACCGCTGTTCCTACCTTGCACAAAACACTACGGATCCCTCCCTCAGAGCAATCGCAAAAGGCGCCCTCTCCCCGAACATCTGCAAATGCCAAGCACAAACGAAAACCGAAAGAACGCCGACCCCCCCCTCCCCCCCCCGCTCCCTCCACCCAACACCGAGCGTCCCCAGCACCGGGCACTCTCCAACATTGACCGCCCCCCAAACACCGGCCACCTCCCCAACACTTTCCTCCTTCCTCTCCCGCTCCCCATCATGAACTACTACCCCCGACACATAACGCCATGAAGCACCCAACCACCCCCACCCCACACATAACGCTACAGTGAGCAGCGTTAGACCGCTTACTGGTGTCTGTGCTTTACAAATATCTCATCCTACCGTACCCACAGAATACCGCTTTGAATGGTGCTGCGTAATGTAGCACAATATCACCGCTTCGAGAACACCGGTGTCTAGCGTGGGAGCAGGGGAAGGGCGGAAACATCGTGTGGAGGGGTGGGACAAGGACTGGGAAATATGATGGAGTACCTTAAAGTTTGATGCAAAAACGCATGATCGCACCGGCTCGCCTGGTGCGTTCCAGCCGGGGTTTTATTATAAATGTGAGTTTTTATGCGTTTTTGCTAATATGCAAATGCAAAAACGCATATTGTGACAACCCCGGTGTGTGTACGTCCGGATATTTCAGCTCGGTACCCAAGCAAGCTCCGGCGCCAAAATTTTGCTGGTGGGTTCCCGGCCAAATGCCACTCCAATACCGCGGTATCAATCCTCAAGCAAGTCTGGGTCCGCGCACGAGGAGGTGAAAAATTAGCGGGAAAGCCGTTAACTAGCGAACCAGAAAAACTAGAAAGCTGAAATTTTGAGGTTATGCCTGCCGCCCTCATAGAACTCAAAGATTTCAAATTCAGCCCCCAGGTGCGCGTGGTTCCCGCGTATGGTCCCGTGAGGGTTCCTGGCGTGAAAATCACTAACTCAGGAACTAGGAAACTAGAGTGCTGAAATTTTCAGCGAATTTTCCCAGCACAAGTTCAACTTAAAATTATCAAACTCAGCCCCTCCATGTGTGTGGTACTCACGCACGGCCCCGTGAAAATTTTTGGCAGGAAAATGGCCAGCTCGGGAACCTGGAAAGCAAGAAGGCTGAAATTTCCAGAGAATGTTACCAGCACATGTACAACGCAACTTTATCAAATCCAGCTTCCCAGGAACGCGTAGTTATCATGTATGGCCCCGTGAAATTTTTTGGCGTGGAAATGGCTAACTTGAGAACTAGGAAAGCTGGGGGCTGAAATCTTCAGGGAATATTCCAAGCTCAAGTACAACTTACAACTATCAAATTCGGCCCCAGACATACGCGGTTATCACGTATGGCCCGCGAAAGTTTTTGGAAGGAATATGGCTAATTCGGGAACCAGGAAAGTTGGGAAGCTGAAATTTCCAGAGGACATTCCCTAAACAAGTAAAATTTACATTTATCAAACTCAGCCCTTCAGTGTTTCTGGTACTCACGTGCGGTCTCATACAAATTTTTAACGAAAAAATGGCTTACTCGGGAACTAGGAAAGCTAGGAAGCTGAAATTTTCAAGGAATGTTTCCAGCCTACGAACGACTTAAATTTATCAAACTCAGCCCCCGGTCAAGTACAGCCCAGTGAAAATTTTTGGCTCAAGAATCAGAAAATTAGGAAAGCTGAAATTTCAACGAAATGTCTCCTGTCCAAATACCGCGTAGAAAATTAACTTCCCGGGCTTCGAGGGCCAGTATGTCGCACACTTCTAGCTACTGGGTTTCCGAACGATGTCATTACAGCACGAAATATTGCAAAAAAGCATGATCGCACGGGCCAGCCCAGAGCGCGTCGTCAATAATTTTGACCATGACAGGCACCCTCTGATTTATTTTGCAGCACTTTGTTAATAACATCCCGATAGTTTTGGTACCACTGCGAAAAAAAGAAGCGCTGTTCGTTCTGTCCTGAATATTTTACAATGATTCATGCTCTCCCTCAAAGATAAGCTAAGACGACAAGAGCATTTGCATACTATGTTAAATTTATAGCCCGTTTGGCAAAGGTCGTGAAAGTTCAGAGCGAAGGAATTCAGGAAAAGGAAGGGATAAAATACAGAATTTTGCAAAGTCAGTGGTCTACAAGGAGACTCTCACGCTATAACATTTAAATTTGATCCCTTCCGAAAGAAAACAGTCTTTTCATTTCGAATAATATAGTCAACATATGGAATAGTTTGCGGCCGCTCTGCTTCAGCACTTTATAGTGGGGTATACGGGCTTTTTGAGCTTTGCCTTCCAAATACGCTGTAAAATCTGTAAAAGACTTCTTACTGGGTTTTTGCTTGGCATGGACATGTTTTGGGGTTTCTGGAATTGTATTACAATCAGTTTGTTCCTGGCAGATATTCGAACGTTGGAAGGTGCACGAGGCACTGAGATGTTCCACCGATTTGATTGCTCGTTGGTTTGCTGCCATGGAAGCTCATTATCATGCAATGAATCCATATCATAATGCCACTCATGCTGCCGACGTTTTGCAGGTTTCCACTTTTGAAATTCCAATCGAACGTTTTAAAATCGGAAAAGAAACGTAAACAAACTTCTCTCCACGCGGCACTGGGAGTGACCACTTCTACTCCCTGTCTTTACTGGGTGAGGGTCAGGAAGCGTCACACTAAAGGAATGGGCACTAAATTCAATTTACCTAAAGCTTATAAGCGTAAAATTTGGACAATGCAGAGAGCACCGACTGAGAATTGGAATTTGGAGACGCTAAATTTGTTGAATGAAGTTTTAATTAATTTTGTTTGTTTGCGAGCTAATTTTTGATAAAATGTGAAAAAAAAAGAATCCTAATTTCAGGCGACTTCTTATTTTCTTGATTCTCCAACAGTTGCTCATCATGTACAGGAAACTCACGCTACTGCGGCACTGATTGCAGCTGCTGTCCATGATCTGGATCATCCTGGCAAGTGATCACTTTGTTTGACACTTCCCGAATTACTGAACACCAACTTCAGCGACTGAGAATTGAGGCACCTGGTAGCCGGCTTAATTAGCTCTCAAAGGAGCAAAGCAGTTAGCTCCAGTGAGGGAACTTTTGTGGCGATTGTGCGATACCGTATTCTCTGCAGCTATAAGTCATGGGTCGAGTTCGCAAACAAAGTGCTTTAACGGTAAGCGAGCCGAACTTCCCAAATTTGAGATGACCGATTGCCTTAGCGCAGAGTATATGGACCTGTTGAAGCACAAATAAGAGTGATACAGGATGATTTGACAGTTTTAAAACAAAACAGTACGAAAAAAGAATGAAATAAGAATGGCAATTCTAAATAGGAATGTTTCATTCCATGAAGTGGTATCCGTTCCTATGTAGTGCCACAGCTGGACTTCCTCATTACGCGAT